GATTTATAATAATTATCATTTTGATCCATTAGTAATGTCTGACTGGACCTCGTGTCACTTTATGTTCAGTAAACTGGACCCTGAGGTCACAAAGGTTAAGACCCCCTGCTGTAAAGTGAAGTCTGGTGTTGTGGGTTTGGTCGACTCTACATGACATTAAGTGTGATTCTGGAGATGACTCTCAGCTACTACCACATCAAACACAAGCTCAGTGTCTGTAAATCTGACAGGTGTAMCCAGGTGTAGATTAGTCACAGGATGATATATCAGTTCGTTTGGATGATGAATCCATATTTCTCAGTTTTAGTTCAGTTCACCATCATTTGATCCATCCATCAGCAGACATGATGGTTACACATTTCATTTAGCCTTAATGTAACTCAATCATTAATCCTTTCATCCATATACTGATGTGGATCAGTGTGTTGTTACATCACTAACCAGTTTCTCATTAACTAACATCAACCTGCTGTGGAGAAAATGTAAAGTTTCATCAGGTGCAGCTGCTTCCTCCTAAAAAACTGTTTTAACTTGGTACCACTTTACAATCAGGCTCCCCCTTATAAATACTACACCGATAGGTTATTAATTTATCTGTAAACACTTTATACATCATTATTAACTGTTTATTATGCATTAATTAAGGATGAGAAAGAGACAAAACTGTCCGGTTTTTGGTCAAATGGTGAGTCAAATCTGTTCACGTACATATTACATGTAAAGTGTTAAATTAAACATTTCACACTAGGTTAACTTGTAAACACAATAATGTACTGGAAACACATATTTTACATATAAATTACACTGTATTATACATATCCACAACTATCAAAGTGAACCTTATTGGTATTTATTAATCAATAATAAACAGTTTATCTACTGTAAATATGAATTTCCAACACATGTTTGTGTTTATAAGTTAACCTAGTGTGAAATGTTTAATATAACACTTTATAATATGTACATGAACAGATGTGGCTCAGTGTTTAGCAAGAAACCAGACAGTTTTGTCTCTTTCTTATTCTTAATGCTTAATAAACAATTCTTGATTTATAAAGTGGTTATAGATGAATTAATAACTATTTACAAGCCATCCATAAGGGGAGCCTGATTGTAAACTGGTACCATAAACTGGTTTTTGACTCAGTTTGCCATGTGTTGTTTGGTTCGGGGTTTTTCTATGTTGATCATTTTAAATACAATTTGAAATGTTTTGTTGTGATTTTTTTTATAAGTTATTTGCTTATTTACAGTCACAGGGTGGTACTATCAGCTCCTCCCATAGAGTGTCACTGGGACATTAAAAACCTGCCCTGCAGACTCTCTGTTGGTGTTAGCACATTGATACAAACAGTAAACCTGAGGTGAGCTCATGAACTGCAGGAACAACACTCAGCAAAGCTTGTGTCCAACAGARGAGGAGATTTTCTGTTTAAAATATAGATTTTAAGGCAACAGAAACAGCCTGAGTACAACGCTGAAAACAACGACATTTCTGCCAAGAAGGACATTTTAAAGCTGTGAGAGTTACAGAGTTAGCTCTGAGCTCATGTAGAGCTGTGGTGATGAAACCATCTGACGTTGAGTTTCAGCCTTAAAAACTCAGAGTTAAGGTGCACAGTTCACCATTTTCATGTTTTACTATGTGGTGCTGTTTGTAAAGTTACACAGTCAAAAATTACCACCAATATTTATGTTTTATTTAGACTTTTATAAGAAAAAAGAAC